TCAGGCGAGCGGTACTTTGTTCCGCCGCTGTGGGTGTATAGCTCCCTTCAGCTCTTGGTCTTCTTCCTCCGCGGCCGATAGTGATTCCGGGGTGGAGGCCTGGTGTATGTCCGCCATTTTGAGCCTACTTGGCTGGGATAGGAGCTGCCCAATGTCCCGAGTCTGCCCTTCGCTGAGCTCCTGAGATTTCTTGGGGTGTTTCCCCATTGTAACCTGGAGCAGTAGGTGGCTTTTGGTAGGTTTGTGTACTGCCAAACTGCTGCAGAATGCGTCGTTTCGGTATGTATGAACGGGAGCTCAGGCGCCATGCATCTTACCTGTTCACTGGTTAGCTCTGCCCTCTACATTTATGAATTTTAGGGAGAAAATAAAAAGTATGGACTCTAGGGAATTCTTTATAAATAAAAGAATATGCAGACTTGTCTAAGGTGCCAAGTTGTTTGGCATTATTTAGTAAGACTTTAAGCTCCTGTTTAAATTAAGAGTTTGGATTGTAAGACAATTTTATAGGTAAGGTGGTCGTCAAGTAATCTATATGCTTCCATCATATAGTATTCAGTTGACATAATGACAACCCCTCCCCCTTTGTCTGCACTTTTGATGGTCAGCTCCCTTCTACTTCTTAATTCGATTAGAATTTTACTTTCTGTGTCGGTAAGGTTTTTGTGTTTAGTTTCCCTACCAAGATTTTTTCCCAGTTTTTTCAAAATCTCTCAAAATCATTTTATTAAAAGCTTCGATCTGGCTTCCCATCTCATTTGGGCAAAATTTGGATTTAGGCTTGAATTTATGTGTTGATTTCTTGGTATTCATTGAATCACTTGTTTGGCCTTCACTACTCTTTTTGATAAAGAATATTTTAATGGACATCTTTCTGATACTGAACTTTTGGGCATCTGTGAAAAGTTGGAAGACATTAGGGGATTCCTCTGGAACAAATTTTAAACCCTTACTAACAAGGTAAATTTTTTGGGATGTTATTGGAAATTTTGAAATATTAAAAACTCCCAGAGTTTCTTCTTGTGATTTTGTGAGCATTAAACACCCGTTGCTTCTCCGCTCATTCTCCTTCTTTTCCCTGGGGTGTTTCTTTCTCTCTGGTATAAATCGGTTGGTTAAAGGTAATTCCTGGGATCTGGGGGGGGGGGGAACTCTGTTATATCCCTCTTTTTTCAGGCTTGCCCCTTCCCTAAAATAGTTTTAATACCCTTCAATGTACTATCATTGAACAAGTAGTTTTAGATGAAAGAGGTGGAGATCTTACGATACTATTGAGAAAAAGAGAGGGCTACTGGATACACACTTTACAAACAATGCAACCAAGGGGACTGAGTGTTGATTTTGATTTGATTTGTTTCCTCTGATTTTTTGTTAGAATCACTTGACATTCCTCTTTTTCCTTTTTTCCTTTTGCCTTTTATGCACTTTTTGCACTTTTCTCTTGCACTTCAAATCTTTAATGGTAGAGAGTTGTAATACTTTTTGATACATATTATTGCCAATCAAATCTCTTGTGATTTGTATTTTTGGGAATTTTAATATTGTAACATTATATGTTATACTCTGTGATCAATATTTTACATAAGTTAGGGGTTGTTACTCTAAGAATGAGTCATTATTATATATTCTTTTGGAAAATATTTTCTGGGAAATGTTTTATTATCTTGAAATTACTTTTGTAACTGATACTATATATATGTGCTTTATTCTCCATGTTTGTGGACTTTATTCCGCTCTGTGAATGAGCGGTGGAACTCATAATATTAGGTGGAACACAAGGATTTACAGCTGGATACGACTGGCAAGAGAAGCTGGAGCCGCACTTCCGGTAGCGTCATGTGGACGTATACGGAAGTACTACAGACGGCGAACCCAGAAGTATGTTGCCGATAGGTGGACAGTCATGCCTGCACGTAGAAGGATCTTCATCACATTCCCCTGAGGAAGTTCGAGGACTATTGAATGAAACGTGTAGGGCTGCTGTATAGTGTAAAGAGTTTTGTTTTTATTTTGTTTTGTTTTATTTTATTTTACTGTTTTCCGGTTCTCTCGATCTTGGGATCCTGCGACTGGTACATTTTATATGATACGCCTGCTTGCCACTTCAGTCTTGTAAGTGTGCCTTATAATTAAAGTGTTTATTTTATCAAGAGACTCTGCACTATTACGCTTCTTTTCTTCCTTCTATGTATACCATGATGCTCTACAAATCCTTAGGTTTCCACCACCTTCATGATATGTCTGCAATCAATTTTGATTTGTGAATGTGAATAACTATTTATATTTCCACTCCATTTTTATTGCAACAGTTGCGCTATGTTTCTCTCTGTTATCATTGTATTGTAGATTATTCCCTTTTCCATATTGTTTTGAGGACCCAGAGGAGTCCTTATCTACAGTACTTATAGTTCAAGGGTAACTGTTTAGATTTCCATCTATTACCCACTAAGTGTGTGTTCTATTCACTAGGAGGTGCATCTGTATACTTTATATGGTTAAAATAGTAATAGTTATATTATTATGTTTAAGTGTGGGTGGTGTTAAGGGGGATTTTGTCATTATTTCCGGTCTAGTGTAGACAAATAGAGAACTTTAACCATTTCACCACCACAACTACATCACGCACACTCTTGAAGTAGGGTAAGTTCGTGACAAACAGCAAGGACATCAGAATGTCATTCGGAATAGAGAAGTGAGGGCGAATGATAGCAAAAAGAGGGAAGATGATCAGGAATGAAGGAGTTTAAGTTCCAGAAGGCCAATAGAAGATGTAGAGGACAGCTACAAGTACCTGGGGGTACCACAAACACATGGCAACCATGAGGAAGAGGCAAGGAGGATAGCAACATCCAAGTACCTGAAAAGAGTCAGACAAGTCCTTAAGTCCCAGCTTAATGGCAAGAACAAGATCCAAGCCGTATCGGTCATCAGGTACCCAGCTGGAATAATAACCTGGCTAAGAGAAAAAACTGGTCACTGTGGATGTCAAGACCAGAAAACTATGAATGGAGGATTCCACATGAAATCCAGCACCCAGAGACTGTACACCTCCCAAAAGGAGGCCTGATGAGTGTCAAGGCCACAGTCCTGGATGAAACACAAGTACATCATGAAGATGGCTCCAAAAGATGAACTGCTAAGGGAATGCCTGAGACTTCAACAGATAGATGATGCAGAAAAAGAGGATGTTCCTTGGCAAGACAAACCTCTCCATGGGGTGTACCACTGGCAGATAGTGGATGTGGCTCACATGACAAAATTCTACCAGTGGTTGTTAAAGGCAGGACTGGAAGACAACACTAAGGCACTAATCATAGCAACACAGCAACAGGCACTCTGCACCAGATTAATAGAAGCTGGAGTCTACCACACCAGGCAAGACCCAAGGTGCAGACTGTGCAAAGAGGCCTTTGAGACAGTCCAGCACCTAGTAGTCGAATGCAAGATGTTGAGATACCACAAAGGGTAGTAGAGACTGACAGGGCTAGGATCCTGTGGTACTTCAAGATCCAGACAGACAAGCAAGTTCTGCCCTCTGGATCTATGTCCCCTGATCCTCTCACACAGAGCTGTTTCTGTTTTCCCTACGTAGTTTAGGCCACGGGGACATGAAAGTTTATAAATCACGTGGTCTGTCTTACAGCTAATTCTGTTGGATGTGATATTTTTTCTTTGTGTGAGAATGTTTAAAAGATTTAGTGGGGACTAGGTGGCCACAACTCACGCAGCCCAAACATCTGGTACTAGGTTAAGGTATTTCTTCTGAACCGCCAAGGAACTATGTTCAGGGTCTGTACGGACCAATAGGTCTAGCAAATTCCTTTCTCTTTTATAATATACCATGGGTTTCTGTGCAAAGCTCTTGGGTATGGAGGGATCTCCTGTCAAAATATTCCAATTTCTTCTTACTGAACTGGAAATCTCAGAACTGATGGTATTGTACTTCATGTTGATAACCAAACGCTGTACCTCATTCATGTTGCGTGGTTTCTCAGTGCCCTCCATGCTTTGTTTAACACTTCTTTCGATGTATAATGACTGCACCCTTGGGCTAGAAACTTATTGTACATAATCTTTAGCTGGATATCAATCGGATCAGGTAGAGCGTTATTGCGGAAAACCCTAAAAAATTGTGAGATTTGAAGAAATTTTTTAAAGTGTTTCGGGTGTGGCCCGGAAGAATGTAGGATAGTGTTCCTATCTGTAGGTTTTGTGTAAAGTTGATATTCTAGCTTACCCTCTTGAATAAAATCTCTAGACCCAGATACTGTACAGCCATTTTATCAATGTGTGCCATAACCTTTATTGGACTTGGTAGATGATTTATAGGACTCACAAATTGTTCAGCTTCTTCAGTCGTCCCATTCCACGGAATGAAAATATAGTCGATAAATCGTACATATTTTGTAATTTTATCCAATTATGGTTGAAATATATGGACTTTTTGAAAAGCATACATGTATACATTAGCATTCATGGGGGCCATCGCTGCCCCCATGGATGTACCAGACCGTTGCATAAACCATCTTGTTTCAAAACGAAAATAATTCTGTTGTAGAGTCAAGGTAAGTAACTCTATAATGAATTCAATAGGAGGACTCTGATAATTAGGTGAATGGGCCAATAATTCTTGCGTAGCCTCAATACTTGTCACAACTACCAGTGTGGTCCAACATGCAAAACTATGTAACATCTACATAGACTATAGAAGATAGACAGAACTTAAACCAGTCCTTAGAATGGCTGGGTTAATACGTTGAAACACTATTGAGGGGTCATTTGCTAGTCCTGAGATAAGTTTACATTGTGCTTTAGAAATGTTACTATGTTATGCACAATGTTCTGAAGAAATGTGATCCGATTCTGTCCTCAATGCAGTGAGGAAAGTTTTAATTGTTGGATGATTCTGAAGTGGGTCAAAGGAACCTTATAGCTTAAACTTTGATGCTGGAGTCTGTGGAATTTGATGTTTTTATCCTTTCTCAAATAATTATTTTAGTCTAAGAGTCAATTTCCCACTGGAACTTATACGGTGGAGTGGTAAGCATGAAGGACATGCCTTTGCTGAAGAGATCTGTTTCTTTGTCTGATAGAGGTCGGTCTGATAAGTTGAACACTGGTGTTATTGACGTATAGGGGGTTTTCCTCTGGGTCCAGTGTGAATGTCCCTTCTGGCCCCTTCTGGTGTTTCCCCGCTTGCTTGTTGGACCCTGCTTCTGGTTATGGTGCCTGATATTTCTCTTGCTGTTGCTTCTGTTGGACTGATCTTGGAGTTTGTGCATTTTCATTCTCAGGACCAGATACTCCCGATGTTACATCTATTGTGGTTATATTAGGCTTGATTATTCTTTTGCGTGCTCTTCTTGGTCGGGAACATCGTCTCCTGTCAGCAAATAATACACATAGTGTTCTTTATAGTCAAGTTGGACTTGTTCTTGTTTTTAAAAATGAAAATGTTTCTTGTTTTTGACGCTTGAACTTAATAAGTTGATACTTCAATGGTCAATGGTCGGGATGTTACTGACCCTAAATTCCCTTGGGATTTGTTTGGCGCGGTGATAGTCTATAAAAAATAACCAATGTAAGTCGAGATCAATTTCCCTCTTTTTCAATTTCAATAGTTGAAAGTAAACATCTCTTTCTGTTGTTGTATTGGGCAATTCAGAACTTGTGGCATTTACTTGTGATGTCCGTCGTGATCACATGGCCCTGGAGGGCCAAAATGGAAGCAGGGGGACTGCCTGTCTCAAGAGGCAGTCCCCCCTTATGTGGAAAGATCCACACCTTATGTCCTGGCAGAATCCAAATTAGATTATTCGAGTGCTCGGAGAAACGTAAAATGCACAGACACAGCTTGTATGTGAATCTATACGTCTGATTTATTTCCAAAAAGCCAGTTGCATTTATACAATTAGTTACGTGAAGTGTGCAATAAGAAAAGGGGCGGTTATACAATAGTTACTTCTAGAATTAACTGTGTATGTGCAAAAAAGAAAAATATAAGGTTAAAAGGTCACATATCTATCGGGGGGGCAGCTGTGTCGTTTTATGAAAGGAAGAATATGGAAGAAAAAGGGAGGAAGGCAGGAAGGGAGAGCGCAGGATGCTTATCTGACTGTAATTTTCTCAAGCACAAGTTTTAAGTGAAAAAATTGCACAGTTTGCTAAAATGAGACAAAGTATTATAAACTGGATAAAAAAGGTTTGTCAGCAGTTTCAAGCATAATACAAAAAGTAAGGCAAAGTTCATCTAGAACAGGGGATCTTCTACTAAACAGGGATCTTGTCCATAACACCCTGGACCGGGATCGGTCTAGGTAACAGTGCAGGGACAGGAGAGCTAACGATCGTTAGGGCGTACTATTCCCCCCTAACGGCATTTAGGCTCAGGGCGGTGCAATAATTTTTGCCGCCCTAGGCCAAAAAAAAATAAATTGCCGTCCCATGCACTCCACAGTGGTCCTGCAGGTTTAACCCAGCAAGATAAAACATTGCCTTACGTTAAAGGGTTAAACATGCCTCTAGTAGCTGTCACACTGACAGCCACTAGAGTCACATCTGCTGTTGGAAGTGCATAGAACTTGCCACTTATGCGCATCAGGTCCCCAATGCTTCTGCATGAGGAACATTGGATTGGACCAGTTTTGTCCTATCAGTGACATTAAGCGAGGTAAGGAGGCAAGCAGTGCAGAGGGAGTCTTGGTGCTTGAAAAACGTAAAACCTAGCAGACACACACACACTGTCCCTAACAGACACACACTGTCCCTAGCAGACACACACACAGTGTGTCCCTAGCAGACACAGACAGTGTCCCCAGCAGACACACACTGTCCCTAGCAAAAACACACACACACACACAAACACTGTCCCTAGCAAAAACACACACACATACTGTCCCTAGCAGACACACACACACACACTGCCCCTAGCAGACACACATACACACACACTGTCCCTAGCAGACACACACACACAATGTCCCTAGCAGACACACACACTGTCCCTAGCAGATACACACACACAAACACACACATGCACACACTGACCCATGTAGACACACACACACTGTCACTAGCAGACACACACACACACTGTCCCTAGCAGTTACACACACACACACTGTTCCTAGCAGAGACACACACAAACACCATCTGAAGAAGGCAGACACACATTCTTTAAAACACACACTATGAAGTACCCCTCTTACCGTAATTTCATATTTGCTCTCCATGTGTCCCAGGCTTCCTCATTGCGCCTTGCTGCCACGCTCTCAGCTCCGCCTCCATTATTCTCCCGCCCACTTGACCCCAAGTACAGGGCAAGGGGCAGGAGCGATCAAGAAATGTAATCTTGTGCTTCCCCAGCTTTTTCAATGGGTGAGGGGCAGCTCTCTATGGTAGTTGCGTGCAGAGGTTGGTGCCACCGGGCGCTATTCTGCATCTACGTAAGTGCTCCCTAGCGCCCGGTGGCAATCCAGAATTAGTCCCTCATAGAGGGACTAACATTAGAGCTACTGCCAGTGCAGCGCCCTAGGCAGCCGCCTAGTTGGCCTATTGGAGCGCCGGCCCTGTTTAGGCAGTGGCATAGTACGCCCTAACGGCAGTAAGGGGTTAAGCTGGGGGATTAAGGGGACAGGAACACTGCACCCAGACCACTTCAATGAGTAATTGTAAATAAAAAGAGCCCTTATAATGCCTTGCAAAACAAGTATGTTGTTAAATAATATACACAGTGTATTTGTGTTATATGCAGTATGTATCCAAATTAATTGCTGAACACAGTATTGTTCATAGTCTTCTTATTTCACAATGCTAGTGTAACCAAGACAACCTAAAGTGGAAATCGTTTTATGGAGTACATTTTGATATAGTAGCAATATTTAACAGAAACTTCAACTATGTTCTCCAATGGCCTAAATAGTTGTTAATTGAGCCATGACAAATGTGAACATTTTCTTCAAAATAAATCATTTGCTTTCCTTAGACCACCCAAATTAGCAAAGTGCTGTCTTGCTGTGCGAGAATGTGGCAGAAATACATTGCTTAAATTAGCCATGAATAATATATTTATTTACATTATTTCTAAAAAAGAATTTGACATATAAAAAATCCATTTCCTTTCAAAACTTGATTAATGGATTGTCATACTAAAACTAGTTTTTAGGTGACAGACCTAAATCATATCTTACCCCCCTTTGTGATTCTCACACCCCATTTAGTGTATTTTATTCCCCAGTTTGTGTGTATTACAACCACTTTGTATATCTCTTACTTTGCCAAGCCACTTTGTGTGTCTCTTACTTTCCCTCAGTCCCTTTGTGTGTGTCTCTTTTTTCCCCCAGACGCCTTCTGTTTCTCTTTCTGACCCTCCCAGACTCAGTCATACAGAGACACACAGGTACATACAGGGAGTGCAGAATTATTAGGCAAGTTGTATTTTTGAGGATTAATTTTATTATTGAACAACAACCATGTTCTCAATGAACCCAAAAAACTAATTAATATCAAAGCTGAATATTTTTGGAAGTAGTTTTTAGTTTGTTTTTAGTTATAGCTATGTTAGGGGGATATCTGTGTGTGCAGGTGACTATTACTGTGCATAATTATTAGGCAACTTAACAAAAAACAAATATATACCCATTTCAATTATTTATTATTACCAGTGAAACCAATATAACATCTCAACATTCACAAATATACATTTCTGACATTCAAAAACAAAACAAAAACAAATCAGTGACCAATATAGCCACCTTTCTTTGCAAGGACACTCAAAAGCCTGCCATCCATGGATTCTGTCAGTGTTTTGATCTGTTCACCATCAACATTGCGTGCAGCAGCAACCACAGCCTCCCAGACACTGTTCAGAGAGGTGTACTGTTTTCCCTCCTTGTAAATCTCACATTTGATGATGGACCACAGGTTCTCAATGGGGTTCAGATCAGGTGAACAAGGAGGCCATGTCATTAGATTTTCTTCTTTTATACCCTTTCTTGCCAGCCACGCTGTGGAGTACTTGGACGCGGGTGATGGAGCATTGTCCTGCATGAAAATCATGTTTTTCTTGAAGGATGCAGACTTCTTCCTGTACCACTGCTTGAAGAAGGTGTCTTCCAGGAACTGGCAGTAGGACTGGGAGTTGAGCTTGACTCCATCCTCAACCCGAAAAGGCCCCACAAGCTCATCTTGATGATACCAGCCCAAACCAGTACTCCACCTCCACCTTGCTGGCGTCTGAGTCGGACTGGAGCTCTCTGCCCTTTACCAATCCAGCCACGGGCCCATCCATCTGGCCCATCAAGACTCACTCTCATTTCATCAGTCCATAAAACCTTAGAAAAATCAGTCTTGAGATATTTCTTGGCCCAGTCTTGACGTTTCAGCTTGTGTGTCTTGTTCAGTGGTGGTCGTCTTTTAGCCTTTCTTACCTTGGCCATGTCTCTGAGTATTGCACACCTCGTGCTTTTGGGCACTCCAGTGATGTTGCAGCTCTGAAATATGGCCAGACTGGTGGCAAGTGGCATCGTGGCAGCTGCACGCTTGACTTTTCTCAGTTCATGGGCAGTTATTTTGCGCCTTGGTTTTTCCACACGCTTCTTGCGACCCTGTTGACTATTTTGAATGAAACGCTTGATTGTTCGATGATCACGCTTCAGAAGCTTTGCAATTTTAAGAGTGCTGCATCCCTCTGCAAGATATCTCACTATTTTTGACTTTTCTGAGCCTGTCAAGTCCTTCTTTTGACCCATTTTGCCAAAGGAAAGGAAGTTGCCTAATAATTATGCACACCTGATATAGGGTGTTGATGTCATTAGACCACACCCCTTCTCATTACAGAGATGCACATCACCTAATATGCTTAATTGGTAGTAGGCTTTCGAGCCTATACAGCTTGGAGTAAGACAACATGCATAAAGAGGATGATGTGGTCAAAATACTCATTTGCCTAATAATTCTGCACTCCCTGTACAAACGCTGTCATGCAGAGACATAAAGACAGAATCATACAGAGATATGCAGACATTGATACAGTCTTACAGAGACATACAAATGCAAGCTTACAGTAACATATAGAACAAGACATACAGAGACATACGGACAAAATCATGCAGAAACATACATAAATAGTCATACAGAGACACACAGACACAGGCATATAGACAAACACAGACAAACAGTCAAAGACAAATGCATACAGAGATATATAGACAGGCATACAGAGACATTCAGACACAGACATACAGTCATACAGTGACATACAGACACATAGTCATATATGCAATCACGA